CCCTGCGTCTAACCTCACTATTACTTACCCGGTGATCCCAGCAGATGCCAGCAATATTTCTGAGGCATTTGTTGTCAAATACTAATAGCTTACGAGTGTCTTCTACTCTTAATGGCCATGTTTCGCTGCCGTAAATTAAAACAGAACGGACTGCCGCGCAGTATACTCGTCCTTTTATTGATAGACGGATATCTCGCCTTCGCCAAAGGTGACGCAAGTTGGCAAAAGCCAATCGAGCTTTTCGAATCCGTGCTGAGATTTCGTCCGATACCAACCCATTATGGCTGATCAGACTTCCTAGATAAGTGAAGTTGTCAACGCGTTCGACTACTTCACTCCCTATCCTTAGTTCAGGAATTGTCACTAGCGATTCAAAAAAATATTAATGGGATAATCTCTTGAACGCTTAATAAAAAAATCACCAGTTTGTGTACTTAATTCTCATCTATGGAGATATACAACATTTGAGTGTTAGATAATTTCCTAACAATCATACGTTTAAAAGTAAACAAACTTTCTCTACCACACAATTGCAGTGATGGTAGATCATTCATAAATTAATGATTTTTACAATGATTGTACAAATGATTTTAAGAATTGTATGGTTCTCTTAGAAAAAATTCCATTCCGAATAGTTGTCAACGCGTTCGATTACTTCACTCCCTATCATTAGTTCAGGTGTTGACGCAGACCAGTCCTGATGCAACAACTTGCATTTAGAGGGAGTGAAGCGCATTCCAATCATTCTGGCATTGTTGCTTAGTGCTACCAAAAGACTGCATTTTGTCAGCGTCTTCACCAAACAGGACTATATCATCTGCGTATTCTAAGTCGATAAGTAGACCTCCTGGAAGGAGATCAATACCCGAGAATTCAGTCGACGAGAGTGTTATTTCCATCAATAGGTCTATGATGAAGATAAACAAAAATGGGGAAAGTGGACAGCCTTGACGGACACCACTTGAAGTTGCAAAAGTAGATGACAGTTCGCCATAAGCTCTGACTCGACTAGTAGTGTTCGAGTAAAGAGCCTTCACAAGGTTTATGTACTTCTGGGGTACGCCTTTCGATGACAGACACTGCCACAGAATCTCGCGGTCTACCGAGTCAAATGTTGTTTTTAAGTCGAGAAAGACCACCATTGTCGGACGCCGATAAGTATGCCTATGTTCTAGAACCTGACGAATGGTGAATATGTAGTCGATGCAGCCACGACCAGGTCTGAAGCCAGCTTGATTCTCTCGTGTTTGCAGCTCATAAGTCTTAGTTAGACGTCCGATAACTATCGAGGCTAGTATTTTAGATATTATATTAGTTAAACTAATCCCTCTGTGGTTGTCACAGGATGATTTTGACCCTTTCTTATATATTGGGACGATAAGTGATTGTGACCAGTTAGATGGAATAACGTCTAACTCCCAGATTTTAGCTAAAATATTAGTCAACCTAATCGCTAAAATTGGACCACCATCTTTAAAGACCTCTGGAGCCAATCCATCTGGACCAGCTGCCCTTCCTCGTTTCAGATCAACTATAGCCTTTTGAACGTCTGCTAGAGTTGGGGGATCTACTTCAATGTTCCATTCACACTGTCTGGGAATGGAGGGTAGTTGTAGAGTAGCTGAAGGCCAGTTGAACTGTTCTCTGAAATGTTCCGCCCATCGTTCTAAACGTCTAGACTGGGAGCAGATGAGTGTATCGTCTTTTTCCGATATAATCTCACTTACACTTGACTTATTAATTCCAGTTTCTTTTATTAGTCGGTAGAGCTGTCTTGTGTTCCCTATAGCTGCCACCTTTTCCATCTCTTTTGCTTTCGTTGCCCACCACTGCTCACGGTCGTTTCTTAGACTTTTTCTTAACCTAGATCTGATTTGTTGTCGCTCTTCCTCATGTTCGGAACCTGATGGGACGAGTTTGCGAGAATCCATCAGTGTGATAGACTTTGAATAAATCCACTGGTTCTTTGAAACTCTGTGGTTTAAGTCGCTAATAAATGTCACTGCTGCTTCCACAGCTGCTTGTATTTCATTCCAAGCAACATCTGGGTCAGCCTCGTTTTCAGAACTGCCTAATCGTGACCTCAGTTGTTCCTGGAACCTACTTTTGGTTTCCTCGCTACTCAGTTCGATTCTAATGGGTCTTTTTACTGTGGCTTTTTTGCGTCCAGTGAGGTGCAAGCAGATGCGTGCCCGTATTAGGGCGTGGTCGGAGTCCAAGCAGGTACTCCAGAATGAGCGACAATCTTCTACCGACCCTCTCCAACGATGACTGATGGCAATATGGTCTATTTGAGTCCATCGTTGGTTTGGTGCAGGCGGTCGCCATGTTAGACGATGTCTCTCCTTATGCTTAAAATTTGTGTTTGCTAAAAATAAGCGATTGTCTAAGCACAGTTGCAGCAGACGGTCACCATTATCTGTTCGCTGTGCCGGAATGCTAAAATATCCACCTAAATGCCTTTCTGTTTGGCTTAAATTACCTATCTGAGCATTAAAGTCACTTGCTACGAGTACTATGTCTGAGCGTTTAGCTTTCTGAAGAAGTTCAGATAGCTTTCTGTAAAATTCATCTTTCACATCATCTGAGCTGCAGTCAGTGGGAGCGTAGGCAGAAACGACGAAAAGGCGACGACGTGTGTCCCTATCCTTCCGAGTTCTTACGGAGCCGTTTAGCCGAACAGCACATAGACGACTGTTGACGGGGATCCACTCTAGCAGTGCTTGTTCCGCCCTCATGCTTAGTGCTATGCCTACACCTGCCAGTCCACGAGAGCTGGCCATCGGGTCACCAGATACACGAAGGGTGTATCTCGTTGGCTCTCCGTTTTGCCGAGGTGAGGTCAAGTAAATGACCACACTGGAGTCCTGTATGCGTGTTTCAGAGACACAGCATACATCAATGGAGAGAGATTTTAGGGTTTTAGCCAAGGAAGCCTGCTGACAGATTTGACATAGAGTGCGTACGTTGAAGGCTCCAATGTGTAGTTTGGAGCGAGGTTTCAGTAGACCTGGGACAGAGTTTTGAGCACTAGAATCGTTGGCTATGGTGACAATTGAGGGGGAAGCCGAAGGAGGAAGTTTAGGGTTTGAAGTCGATGTAGGAGGAATAATAGGAATTGTAGAGAGAGGTTGACTATGAATACAGTGGTCTTGGGTGCTGTTAGAGGTATGAGGGCGGTTATCACTTCCCGGTTGCCCACACCGTGGAAGGGTTGTTCTGGAGGTATCTGAAAAGGAAATTGGATTAGAGGCGGTCTTAGTGACCTGAGAGCGTGGCCTCAGTGCCCAAGGGACAGCTTCTTGAGGTCGGTCACGCACGACCTTTTTATGAGTAATTTTTGTGTTAGCTCCGCACTTGTTGAGACCTTACCGCTGTAGACGGATATCCATGGGATTAAGCGAGGTGTGAATTTTTAGGTTCAACATTTTCTAACCGCACCCCTCCTTGTGGGAAGGCAGCGTCTCTGTCATGCTGGTTGTCTGAAGGGGACACCTTGCTGCTGTCACATCTCTGTACAGTCAGCAGTACGACTTCGCCTTCGAACCTTGGGTTTGTTGCTTTTAGTCTTACCGCTCTTCAACCGACATGTCTGACATGTTAAGACCTTGAGGAACGATTGTTCCAACCAGTATAGCTCGGTTGCTTCATCACGATAGGCAAGCCCGACCACCGCGTCACGGTAGCAACAACAGTCGGGAGAAAACGTTTGCCTGTAATTTCAACTTGTATTTCTCTGACTTTGTTCGATATAAAAACGTAGTAGCTTCAACCGACGCTGGTTATCCTGGTCTAGTTTTCCAGATAATGATCTATTCTTCGTTATTAATACTTGACATTATCGAACACTTTTGTTCTAAGAATTACTTGTGGAATCATATTGTGTATACTTAATCTACCACTGGTACTGTTACATCTACTACTCTAGGGCTTGTCTTGATAATCTCATCTAACTGCTTATGTGGTGTGCCAACTCGAACCGATACCTATATATTCCAGGTCCTACGTTTTGTATGACTGACTAAACACTTCACATCTGCTTCCAATCTCACAGTACCCGATTATGTTTCAGTCTAAACTGGTAAAAGAATGAGTTTTGGAGCTTTATATGTCGATGTTTTTGAACCTGTTCTACATGAGCGAATAGTTAATGAGTGTACTTGGAGGCACCTATAGCATTCTTGAATTTGAACCATGCATTCTCTGAGAGTTAATATTACCTGATGAGTATTTTAAGACAGTACATTCCTTACTAGTCGTTATATTTGCACGTCACACATTCGAGCGATGCTCCTTCTACTCTAAAAAATGGAATCATACTCCTAAACCACTAGCTAATAAATTGTCTCGAACTTCTCCTAAGCCATGTTTATAGCTGTTCTTCCGGCCAAAGTCCTATGATTCCTTCGAATGGTTCCATAATAATGCAAACAGTTAGTCTTCTGTCCACTGGATCATTGAGTCAAATTTTCACTCCGTTAAAATGGGGGTTCTGTCTGATTATATCCTCCCTAATAGAGTTGATGGTACCTACCGAAAATTTTATCTACTTTCGTTTCGTAAAAAGCTCACAGACAGCATTTAAATTATTTCTCAACTTTTCTAGCCATGTGGCTGCATCCACTGACGGCTTATATATGGAAATAATTGGGGGGATTTTATGCGCCAATTTCAAATAGTGCTTCTCAGCTCCATGGTAATTTTTCTTTAAAGTAGTAGCTGAGAAAAAAGACTTGTCCGCTTTCACAGTGTCGTTGGAGTAGTTGCCGTTACCCGAAACCATATCACACATAAAAAACCTAGGTTGGTATGATTCGTTGCACAACTTGGAAATAAAACACCATTACGGCTTAAATTCGTTAAGTGGTTTAAAACCATCAGTTATTGAAATTCATTGTTTTAAAAAAAAAGCTTGTACAAGTTAATAGCCTGTTGTGATTTAGTCTGCTTAATTTTCTGTGTCTGGTGTTAAGTGGTTTTTATTTATTTTAAATAATTAGGGTACATATCCACAATCATCTCCAATATGGTTTTCCGATTCTGATGACACGTTTGTCACACAAATTTTCCGAGGACTACAAACAGTTGAGCCAAGCAACTATACGGTAAATTGTTTTGTTATCAAATTAATTATAATCATTCAACCATACTGCAGATTGATCGTCAAGTAAAGATACTTGTAACGGAATTATGTCGATACAAAAATTTGCCATATCCTCCTGAATTGAACAATCTCTGTCCAGACTTTAGTCCTGAACCTGTAGGTTTATATTTGTTCCATTAAACTAATATTTTTTTGCATATATAGCAGAATAGGACATTTTTGAGCTCGTCCCTTAATGTACTATAATTTTGTTTTCTGGGTTTTAACTTTTAGATACATCATTTCTAACGTTATTTTAAATGTCATATTTTTAGTATGATTTCACAAGGAACAAAGATTTAAATATATTCAATGTCCATTTAGGTAAATGGTACTTTCCTACTAACTTTTACTCAAAGTGGTTGCTTTCCTATATTTTTTTTACAATTAATTTAATAATCATCGTCCATCCAGCGAGTCATGAACACCATGTTGTCGACTTAATGAGAAATAGTAGGACCCCAACTACCCTGGTACGGCCAAGGATGAGGAGAGTTCGTTATCGAAATGCTCTCACATGACCACGCGTATATAGCCACCGCCAGGTGAGTCCTCACTGCATTCTCGTGGCTGACGTGTTGTTTACGAGATCGAGAGGAGGAGAAGCGAATGTCCGACGCTTAACCGGGTTGGCAGTCACGGATGGTTCACCTAGCAGAGTTGGAAAACCCTGATTCCAAACCGATGGTGCACATAGGCTCCAGTATCCTGCGGGAACAAATGGCGTATGAACCAATTTTTGGTCACCGGCTACCATGGGACTGCATCTCCTCACGATGCTATACTGCCTTGTGGATCAGGCCCTTAAGTCAAAGGCTCGGGGTGTGGCTCCCTAAGGAAACCACCTGCTTCGGTTTGGGCACTCGGGCAGTATCTCAGCCCGCACACAAAAACATGATAAACTATCTACTTATGAAAAACATTCCTCTCGCTCCAAATAACAATCAAGTGACTCGCATTATTATTATTATTATCATTATTATTATTATTATTATTATTATTATTATTATTATTATTATTATTATTATTATTATTTACTACGTCATTATTCACCCTCTTTTATTCCCATTCTATTTATACTTATTTCTTCGACTTATACAGCAGCTCATCTATGGTGGAAATTCGACTGTATCTAAACGTTCTCGAGTCACTGTCCGGTTGAAAATTGTATGTTACTACCGAATATGAGTACTGAAGCAGTTTCTCTGAAACCGCACGCGCCATTCAAACTGGCTGCCTTCAACGTTCGCACACTTATGCAGGTTGGTCAACAGATAGGGCTGGCTATGTCTTTGGGAAGTCTTAATATCGATGTTTGCTGTCCATCCGAGACCCGTATTCAAGACTCTGGTGAAGTACTACAAATTCGCTCTCCATCTGTCGCTTCGAAAAGCTTGTTTTACGTGCGCTTATCCGGGGACCCTGTGGCATCTTCGTCTGGTCTTGTTGGCGTTGGTGTCGCACTGAGCGCTAGAGCTGAGGCAGCACTAATCTATTGGATCCCCATTAACAGTCGGTTATGTGCTGTTAGATTAGAGAGTTCCATCAAAGTGAGAAGAAATCGGCGTGAGAAACGATGTCTTTTCGTCATCTCCGCCTATGCCCCGACAGATTGCAGCCTGGATGCAATCAAGGATGAGTTTTACCACCAGTTATCTGTTCTTCTCCAGAAAGTGCGTTCGACAGATATTGTAGTACTAGCCGGAGACTTGAATGCTCAGGTCGGGCGTCTAGGCACAGAAGAGAGTCGTTTAGGTGGCCAATGGGGACTCGTTGGTCGTAGGTCAGATAACGGGGACCGTCTACTGCAACTGTGCACAGACCACAACCTGTTCCTGACCAGCACTAACTTTCGGCACAGTCATCGCCGATGTGCCACCTGGTGTCCCCCTTCTGCATCTCAAGCCTGGACTCAGATTGATCACATCGCGATCAGCTTCCGCTGGCGTGGTTGTGTACAAGACTGCCGCTCCTTTTGGAGTACCTATCAGGACTCTGACCATGCCCTGGTCTGCACCAATCTTGCCTTACTTTTCAGTGGCCAGTGAAGTGACCGCCACCAACGATTGATGTTAGCAAGCTGGTTGCAACTTCTATTGCAAGTAAGTATCGAACCGAGCTAGCTTCTAGGCTAGCTACCATTCCACCGAAAAGTATGGATGAGCATTGGTTGCAATCGCATGACACCATGAAAATAGCAAGTAAAGCCGCTTGCGGCTTCGCGAAACGTTCCATTCATAAGCACTGGGTTTCTTCTGGCTCCTTACAACTCATCGAAGCCCGTCGGCCTACTCCGGGTCACCGTGAGTTTGACCACAAACGAAGGATGTTACGTAAGGAAATTGGGCAAAGCTTGCGTAAGGATCGAGAAGCCTGGTGGTCGGAGCGTGCTATTGAGCTGGAAGCAGCAGCTGCATCTGGTAATTACCTGAAGCCCTTCCAACTCATCCGAGCCACTGGCAGGAAGAAGTCTGGTGTGAGCGAAACAATCTGCGAGGATGACGGAACGTCAATCACTTACATCTATCGACGTCTTGGACGATGGGCAGAATTTTTTTGAAGGGCAGTTCAACTGGCCTGCTGCTCCGGCATCATCGGTCATACTGTCCTTCCCTCCATGACCGGTGACGACTGATCCACCAAATGAGGCGGAAGTCCGCAAGGAACTCCAACTCTTGAAGCGTTACAAATCACGTGGCCCAGATGACTATTTTTAATGATGGTGGTGACTTTTTGACTAAGGAATTGACGACGTTGTTTACAAAGGTTTGGGAACTAGAGAGTGTACCAACGTCATGGAATGAGTCGATAGTTGTCCCTATCTTTAAAAAGGGTTCACGTTGTTCCTGTAACAACTATCGGGGGATAAGTCTACTTCCGATTGCGTCCAAACTATTGGCTTCCGTCATACTTCGTAGGTTGTTCAAAACCCGATAAAGATTGACTCACGAGGAGCAGGCTGGTTTTCGTTCTGGTTGAGGATGTATTGATCATATCTTCACCCTCATCCAAATGTCAGAACACCGTCATACTTAGTGTTTCTTTACATTAGGGCTGCCTTCGATTCATTGGATAGGACTGTTCTCTAAGATTGTCTATTGAAGAAGGGTGTGCCTGAGAAGTTTATTAACACCCTAAAAGCCTTATATACAAACACTTCAGGCGGAGTGAGGACATAAAACCACCTTTCTCCATTGTTCCATTCGAGCAGTGGGGTTAGGCAGGGTTGCCCAATCCCACCATTCCTCTTCTACTTTGCCATCGACGACATTCTGGAAACAGCTCTGATGGATGTAAGTAAAGGTGGTGTGGATCTGTTGCCTGGAGTATGCGGATGATATTGTCTTACTGTGCGATAAGGCCAAGGCATGCAATCCGCACTTAATCAGTTGGCAATCAGTGTCCGTAGGTATGGTATGTGCTTTGCACCTTCCAAGTGCAAACTGCTTCTAGAAGACTGGCAGGATTCTAATCCTGTACTCACCCTGGATGGTGAGCAGATAGACGTAGTCGAGAAGTTCGTGTATCTGGGTAGCTGCATAAGTGCTGGTGGGGGTGTGAGTGATGAGATCAATGCACGTATAGTGAAAGCCAGAGCGGCTCATGCTAATCTGGGCCATCTTTGGTGCCTTCGTGATGTCAGTCAGTCAGTCAGTAACAACGTAGAACTTCGTACGTACGTACATCAGTTCGAGTTGCCACACCACATTAGCACAGAGATGCACTTGTCGATTCAAATCCCGTAGTGGTAGAGGTAGCAAGAGTATAAGCAGTAATCGGGAAGATTAGGGTTTGGAGATGTTATTTAAAGATTATAATCCAGTGAAAGAAATTTGGAAAGAGGAAAAAAAGGACATGAAGAATTCAGAAGATTAGAATTTGGGAGATCACAGAGAGTGGATGCACCTGCGCCATTGCAAACGATCTTGAGCCATGTCATTCAGGGTCTCTAACCATCGGTTGCTATCATCTCGCGGTCCCCAACCAGGTAGTCTACACCTACCAACATGACTCAGTCCACTTGTCAGTGACTTCAAGGACTTGTGCCATGTTTTGGTTTGGCCGCCCCTAGCTTTCTTCCAACCTACTCCTATACCACTGAACATCGCACATCGAGGCAGTCGGTCGTTGGGCATACGTAACACGTGTCCCAGCCATCTCAACTGATGAAGTTTCACTACGTCATCAATTGATTTGCCATCCTTACCTAGTACCCGTTTCCTAACAACTGTGTTACTTACTCGATGGTCCCATGATATATGAGCAATGTTTCGAAGACACCTATGATCAAATACTAGTAGCCTACGGATATCCTCTACTCTTACCGGCCATGTTTCACTGCCATAAAGTAGGACGGAACGAACTGCTGCGCAGTAAACACGTCCTTTGGTTGATAGACGGATATCTCGCCTACGCCATAAATGACGCAAGTTGGCAAAAGCTAGTCGAGCCTTCTGTATCCGTGCTGAGATTTCGTCACACACTAAACCACAAGGGCTGATGAGACTTCCAAGATAAGTGAAGTGGTCGACACACTCAACTACTTCACTCCCTATCACTAGTTCGGGTGTCGATGTAACCCAATCCTGAAGCAACATTTTGCATTTCATGGGAGAGAATCGCATCCCGGACATGCTTGCATTGTTGCTTAGAGTGGTCAGAAGACTCTGCATTTTGTCAGCGTCTTCGCCAAATAAAACTATGTCATCGGCATATTCTAAGTCAGCAAGTGAACCTCCTGGTAGAAGTTCAACCCCTGGAAATTTAGATGAGGAGAGTGTTATCTCTAAAAGAACGTCGACCACAAAGTTGAACAAGAATGGAGAGAGTAGACAGCCCTGACGAACACCACTTGAGGTGATCAATTCTGATGACAGTTCGCCGTAAGCTCTCACTCTACCAGTTGTGTTCGAGTAGAAAGCCTTTATAAGGTTAATGTACTTCTTTGGTACTCCTTTCAGTGACAAACACTGCCATAGAACCTCACGATCAATAGAGTCGAATGCCGCCTTAAGGTCGAGAAATACTACCATTGTGGGGCGTCTGAATGTGTGTCTGTGTTCTAGAACCTGACGTAGTGTGAATATCTGATCTATACAACCACGTCCAGGTCGAAAACCAGCCTGGTTTTCTCTAGTCTGCTCTTCACGAGCTTTAGTTAGGCGTCGAAGTATTATTAAGGCTAATATTTTAGACACTATATTAGTCAAACTGATTCCTCTGTGATTGCCACAACAGGACTTTTGTCCTTTCTTATAGACTGGCACAATCAGTGATTGAGACCAGTCAGATGGGATTACGTCCAGTTCCCAAATTCTACCTAAGACCTCGGTTAATCTCATTGCTAATACTGGACCACCATCCTTAAAAATCTCAGGAGTAAACCTGTCAGGGCCTGCTGCTCTCCCTCGCTTCAGATTTCCTATGGCTTTTTCAACTTCGTAAAGGGACGGAGGACCTACATTAACTTGCCATTCAGGTTGACTGGAGATCGTGGGAAACCGAAGTGTGGCTGAAGGCCAGTTGAACTGATCCCTAAAGTGTTCTGCCCATCGATCCAATCTCCTGGATTGAGAATGAATAACATATCCATCTTTCTCTGAGATTGTTTCGCTAACGGTCGGGTTCCTAATTCCGGTTTCCTTAACGAGTCTGAACAATTGTCTGCTATTACCTATTGCCGCTGCCTTTTCCATCTCTCTTGCTTTCGCTACCCACCACTGTTCGCGATCATTGCGTAGACTTCTTGTCAGCTTGCGCTTAAGCTGACTCCGCTCTTCATTATGTTCAGAGCCAGATGGAATAAGTTTCCGAGCATCTATCAGTGCGATAGATGCTGCTGAGATCCAGTGTTGCTCCCTAACCTTCTGGTTTACCTTACTAGCAGATATCACTGCTGTTTCCACAGCTTTTCGGATATCATTCCATGCTGCATCGGGGTGGGCATCACATACATGGCTGCCTAACTGTTTTCCTAGTTGTTCCTGAAATATACTCTTAGCTTGACTATCATTAAGTAGGCCGCTAAGAGGTTTCCTTGCAGCGTCCTTCCTACGTCCAGTAAGACACAAGCAAATACGCGCTCGTACTAGAGCATGATCTGAATCTAGGCATGTGCTCCAGAATGAGCGACAGTCTTCTATCGAGCCCCTCCATCGTTGGCTGATAGCGATGTGATCTGTTTGGGTCCAACGTTGGGACGAATTAGGGGGTCGCCATGTTAAAAGATGTTTTTCCTTATGCTTAAAGTTAGTATTTGCAAGGAACAGGCGGTCATCTGAGCATAGCTGCAACAGACGGTCGCCATTATCTGTTCTTTGAGTCACGACACCATAAGATCCACCTAGGTGTCTTTCCCTATCGCTTGGTTTACCTACTTGATCATTAAAGTCACCGGCCACTATTACTACATCCGAGCGCTTAGCTTTTCGTAGAAGGTCCGAAAGCTTTCTGTAAAACTCATCTTTTACATCATCTGAGCTGCAGTCAGTGGGAGAATAGGCAGAGACGACGAAGAGGCAACGACGAGTGTCCCTATCTTTCCGGATTCTTACTGTTCCGTTCAGGCGGACAGCGCACAAACGACTGTTTACTGGGATCCACTCTAAGAGAGCTAGTTCTGCCCTAGGACTCAATGCTATACCTACGCCGGCGAGGCCACGGGAAGCAGAATCAGGGCTTCCAGATACACGAAGCGTAAATCGAGTCGGTTCTTTATTTTGGCATGGTGAGGTCAAATGAATGACGCTACTTGGATCCTGTATGCTCGTTTCGGAGACGCAGCACACATCGATGGCGCGAGATTCTAAAGTCTTAGCTAAGGAAGCCTGCTGTCTTATTTGGCAAAGTGTTCGTTCGTTAAAAGCTCCTACGTGTAGTTTAGAGCGTGGTTTCAGGAGACCAGGAATGGCGTTCCACGTACTCGAATCGTTTGCCCTAGCGGTGCGAGGTGATAAAGAGACGTGAGGAGGGTTAGTCGGGAGGATAAGAGAGGTATTAGGAGGTGTAGGAAGGATTTGAATGTGACCACCTTGGTTTCTTGTGCTGTTACGGGTATGAGGGCTGATGTCACTTTCCGGCTGCCCACACCGTGGAAGGGTTCTTCTGGAGGTACCTGAAAAGGAAATTGGATTAGAGGTGGTCTCAGTGACCTGAGAGCGTGACCGCAGTGCCCAAGGGACAACTGCTTGAGGCCGGTCGCGCACGGCCTTTTTGTGGAAGGTTTTCGACGTGTTAGCTCCGTTCTTCAAGGGGCCTTACCGCCGGAGACGGAAATCCGTGAGGTAAGGTGAGGTGTGCATTTTTAGGGTCGACCTTTTCTAATCCCACCCCTCCTTGTGGGAAGGCAGCATCGCTGTCATGCTGGTTGTCCGAGGGAAACACCTTACTGCTGTCACACCTCTGTACATTCAGCAGTACGACTTCGCCCTCAGACCTTGAGTTGCTGCTTTTAGTCTTACCGTTCTCCAATCGACCTGCCTGGCATGGTAGAACCTGCAGGAACATATGTTCCAGCCAATATAGCTCGGTTGGGTCATCACGATAGGCAAGCCCGACCACCGCGTCAAGGTAGAAGCTTCGATCGGGCTTCGTGATGTTAGTCTGGCTGTAAAAGGTCGGATTTACAACGCGTCGGTGAGAGCAGTTTTGCTCTATGCTTGTGAAACCTGGTCTCTCCGAGTTGAGGACGTTAGACGACTCTCTGTGTTCGATCATCGCTGTCTCCGAAGGATTGCTGAAATTCAGTGGCAACACCATGTTAGTAATGCAGAGGTTCGGCATCGTGTTTTCGGGCACAGAGATGATAATTCAATTGGTGTCACCATCTTGAAACACCGACTTCGGTGGCTTGGACATGTTCTCCGAATGTCGTCCCAGAGAATTCCACGTCGTGCATTATTTGCCGACTCTGGGACTGGTTGGAAAAAGCGGAGAGGTGGTCAATGTATGACATAGTGTCGTAGTATGAAAGAAAGCTGTGGAGGACTAGCCTCTGTTGATTCTTCACGACTCCCTGGTTGGGGTCTGAGAGATGGTGCAACCCAGTGGTTAGAGACGTCATCAGATATGGCTGAGAATAGAAGCCAGTGGCGGTCCCGTTGTAACTTTATTTTACTTTCTTCATAAAAATTGGACATAAGTTCGTTAACTTGAAAAATTATTTCTGGTTGTACCTTTGCTAACTGAAGTGTTTCTCCCATTATTATTATTTCACTATCATACCTTAATTTCTGTTCGTTATTGTCGCCTTTTTTACATACACACCTTACATTCTCATTGTTATTGTGTGGCGCATACATACTTAGTGCCCCTTTTTACCAACATTTATGTGTTCAAATAAATAAGAAATAACTTGTAAATTTCCAGAGGTTTTTTATTACTTCATTCTTCCATTATCTGACAATAAAGATGACCTTTTAACTGACTTTGAAGCTGTATCTACAAAAACTAAAACTCAGAAAAAAACATTTGCAAGTTTAAATAAAACAAGAACAAATATTGATGCATAATAGTATGGATTTATAATATTTCGAGGTTTCTCGTCAGCCGCTTACAACCAAATATGTTTTAGAATTTTACCTTGAGATAAGAAATAGTGTGAAACAATTGACATAAATTATTTACATTCGTTTATGTCAATTGTTTTCCACTATTTCTTATCTCAAGGTAAAATTCTAAAACATATTTGGTTGTAAGCGGCTGACGAGAAACCTCGAAATATTATGAATCCATACTATTATGCATCAATATTTTTTCTTGCTTCATTTAAATTCATAAAGGGAACTAATTGCGTGAAACTTGCAAGTTTATTTATCATCTAGGTGGTATGGCTTCTCTATGTGCGTTTCTGTTGATCTGTTCCAATTATAGCTTCCTGTCGACACTATTTCTACTGCTGAACCTCGTCAATCATCTTCTGGCGACGGGAATAGTGATGCAGAAGATACTGGTTTCGAAGATGAAGATGTGACATTGAACGATCCATTTGAAGTTTCGTAAGTTTTACAGCTTTTAGTTAACCTTATTTTTTGTCAAATCAACAGACATTAACACTATTTCTTTTATAAATATAAGTAAATTGTCCAATAATTTCCACTACACAGTGAGCTACTAGAAAATAGAACTTCAGATAGCTATTTCTTCTCAGCTCAGAACTTGATACTTTTAACATGATTTAACCTGTGTAACTATTATTAGGTTGAATTCAGTAACGTAAGTGTATTCACTATTTGCCTTTTACCAAACCATGAAAATCTTAAAAGCACAACTGTAAATCATGAGATAACATTTAAATTACGGTTTCTTAACATCCAGCTAGTATCCGTAGCTATCACGTAACTATACCTCAAAGAGTAGTACGTAAAAATGATACACTTGTACAATAAGCTAATTATTTTCAACTCTGACTTCAATAAGATGATCAAAACTGCTTCTATATTCTTCTATCCTACTCATTAACTAAAATGAAAAGCCCATCTTTGTATAGAAACTTTTCTTGACAGAAACTCTAAGAACAATTAAATCACACTCAAGTTAATTTCATCACGTATACAGATTGAAGTCAGTGATTATCAATTACAAAAATTTATCAGCTTGTCAATCGTCATTTGAGCACAAAATCAGAGTGAATTTATGATTGCAATGAAAAAATTCACAACAAATTCTAATAACTAACTTCATATTATGTAAATCCATAGAATAAAAAAGCACTAAAAGTCAACCGAATAAAAATTACCTTCAGTATGTATTGATTTCTCCTTCATATGCTATATCTGGTGATTTCATATACTCAACAACGCGGATCTCTAATTGGCTACTGAGTCTCATCGAATTGGTTTAAATTTTCAACATTTTAATCCCCATACTGCTCACCGACTGTTTTTTCAAACTTCCAATTCCTTAATCAACCTTTTTTCAGCATATATCGATACTATCTCTTTGTGGAATTTCAAAGTGTAAACTGTCCTTTTAATATTTCAGTCCCAACCCTTGGTATTTCCATTTTTAATTATTGTTTATACAACTAGGAAGTTTTACTCAGTGTAAATCATATCTATATATTGTAATGACTTGAAACAAGACTACTATGTTAGTGTTGTGGCTTAAACCAAATACAGATTTCTGCTAATAGTTAAACTGATTTGCTATGACTGTAGAACACCTACCTGCTACTTACAACGAAATAAGATGACTGCTTTGTCGATACAAGAAAGAAAATAAGACCTTATAAGCAGATTGATTTATTCAGCAACTAATTAGAACAACTTCCACAATAATTACTTACTTCCTTATCCCTGTTACCTTTCATAGAGGAACATAGGCTGTCCACCAACATTCTTCATCCATATCTGTCCTGAGCAATCCATTCCAATTGTTATCCATTCTTTTGATGTCTATTTCCAACTCCCGACGCACTGTGTTCCTTGGTCATCCTCGTTCCCTCAGGACTCCAAAGTAGGGCTTACTTCGTGATGCATTTTGATTTCCGAAATGTATGTTCTATCCCACTTCCAACGTCTTTTCCTAATTTCCTATTCAACTGGAAGCTGGTTTATCCCTCCCCCCCACAGTAGGCTGTTACTGGTGGTATCCGGTCAGTGGACATTCAATATCTTGCGTAGACAATTGTTTATAAATACTTGTACTTTTTTGATGATGGTTGTAGTAGTTCTCGAAGTCCCGGCTCCGTACAGTAGAACTGTCTTGTTCGTATTGAAGATTCTGACTTTGGTGTTGGCTTGCAGACAGTTGTTTTGAGTTCCATATGTTCTTCAGTTGTAAGAATTCTGCCATTACTTTGCCAATCCTTACCTTTACGTCTGCATCAGACCCTCCTTGATCATCGATAGTGCTGCTGACTAGGTACGTAAAAGATTCCATCTCTTCTGGAGTTTATCCATCAAGTGTGATTGGGTTGGTGTTCTCTGTGTTGTATTTGAGGATTTTACTTTTTCCCTTGTGTATGTTGCGACCTGCTGATGCAGAGGCTTCTGCTACAGTAGTTATCTTCATCTGGATTTGTTGGTGTGTATAGAATAGAAGGGTCAGGTCGTCTGTAAAGTCAAATCTCCTAATTGATTTTGAGATGTGCATTGTATTCCGTGCTTCCCGTCAGATGTTAGAGGTCTTCATAATCCAGTGAACCATCAGAAGAAAGAGAAAGGGTGAGAGTAAGCAGCCTTGCCTGACTCCGGTCCCCACCTGGAATGCATCTGTTAACTGTTTTCTCCACAATAATACTGATGGTAATAATGTTACGTGTTTTAAGTGTTTAATCATTCAATTAATTCGAACAAATTGAACTCCGAGTTAATCAATAATCTGATGTGCGTGTCTAGAATTCGCAAAATCAATAAATTAACTATCTTGGCTAAGAAATACAATTCATCACTGAATTATAATTTCTTCTTCCCAACACATACATACATATATATGTATGTTTGTGTATATATGTTTCGTTTTCTTGAATTTATCTATCTGTCATCTTTTGTTTAAATAGTATTACGGGTGATGATCGTCCTGAATATGATGGTATTTCATCCCAAGATGCTGAACAGTTGGAAAAACTCAAGGCTACACAAATACAAGTACGTTTCATTGTCATATATATATATATATATATATATATATATATATATATATATATACGAGTGAACGCCAATTGTTAGAAAAAATCGGGATCCTGGGACCAAAGTAAATAAAGTACTACTTGATCATTATTTGGTCGCTGAAATTTCGAACCTCAATTAAAGTTATTTGTCATCTCTTCTAAATTTGTTTATTCATGGTTTTCTGATCTTTAAGAAAACTATTCGGAATGGAATTTTTTCTAAGAGAACCATACAATTCTTAAAATCATTTGTACAATCATTGTAAAAATCATTAATTTATGAATGATCTACCATCACTGCAATTGTGTGGTAGAGAAAGTTTGTTTACTTTTAAACGTATGATTGTTAGGAAATTATCTAACACTCAAATGTTGTATATCTCCATAGATGAGAATTAAGTACACAAACTGGTGATTTTTTTATTAAGCGTTCAAGAGATTATCCCATTAATATTTTTTTGAATCGCTAGTGACAATTCCTGAACTAAGGATAGGGAGTGAAGTAGTCGAACGCGTTGACAACTTCACTTATCTAGGAAGTCTGATCAGCCATAATGGGTTGGTATCGGACGAAATCTCAGCACGGATTCGGAAAGCTCGATTGGCTTTTGCCAACTTGCGTCACCTTTGGCGAAGGCGAGATATCCGTCTATCAATAAAAGGACGAGTATACTGCGCGGCAGTCCGTTCTGTTTTAATTTACGGCAGCGAAACATGGCCATTAAGAGTAGAAGACACCCGTAAGCTACAAGTATTTGACCACAGATGCCTTAGAAATATTGCTGGCATCTGCTGGGATCACCGGGTAAGTAATAGTGAGGTTAGACGTAGGGTATTAGGGAATGGTGGTAAATCAGTTGATGAGGTTATGAATCTTCATCGACTGAGATGGTTGGGCCACGTGTTACGTATGCCTGAACACCGATTACCACGACGTGCAATGCTAACCGGTGTAGGGGATGGTTGGAAGAAAGTTAGGGGCGACCAAACCAAAACGTGGCATCACTGCTTGAAGTCACTAACTTCTAGTCTGAGCCATGTTGGTAGATGCAGACTACTCGGTTGGGGTCCGCGTGACTATCGTAACCAATGGTTGGAGACTCTTGGTGACATGGCTCAGAATCGATCACAATGGCGTCGGTGTATACACTCCCTGTCTTCTCTTAAACTAAGGGATTAAAATCGCTTCATATCTTTCTTTGTACGAACCAATTCTTTCTACTTGTACTATATCTCTATATGCAATCTTTCTCTTATATATTACTACCTTTGACCTAACCACTGCTATGAATCCGGTGTTCATCTTGTTGTGCTGATGCGGTATGGCAACCTGGACCGATGCACATATGTGCCTGGTCCTACGTTGTAGCTGACTGACTGACAATTCCGATTGTTGATTGGATAAATTAAATTACCGTTTCTCTTTAACCTAATTTTCAAAACTGTTTTTAGTTTTGGATCATATGACTATGGTGATACAAATCGTAAGAAGATGTAGTTACTTCATAACTATGAAAATTTCATTTGTTTTTCAAATCCTACTCACATTGATGGAGTATAGGATAGTAAACTCAGCTTTAAATTCCCACTTTTATGTGTGTGTGTGTGTATGGAGCCTAGTGATACTTCTCTATCTTCTGGGAGAGTAAGACTCAGTCAAAGTAGAATTCATGCACACAAAGAAGAGTACAAAAACTCGACGATACCATATCTAGCGCATATACTATGTAATAAACAGACTTTGAAAGCTAACCTGACCAAACACTTAAACTCCTGAACTTGCAGACAGTTCACTGTTGTGAAGATTTTTCACTTCTTATGAAAATCTCATTTAATTTAATATAATTTTATGTTATTATCAGAATGTGTTTTGTGGAGATTTTTTAGAAATTTTCACAGATTGAACTCATGAGTCAGTTGAAGCTAGACCACCATTGAAAACCTGGAAGCACTGGACGGATGCGCACTGCTGAGGAGTCCCATACTAGGACGAAACGGCCGTCCAGTGCTTCCAGGTTTTCAATGGTGGTCTAGCTTCAACTGACTCATGAGTTCAATCTGTGATAATTTTATGTATATAAACGAATATGTATTGTGAAGTTTATGAAGAGTAAATGAACTTGTTAAAATATCTTACTAAACATATAATATTGAGTAAGGCCATTATTATTACCACTATGATAAATCGATTGTCCAAATGGGGGACTAGGTTAAGCGCAGTTCAAGCCTGTTACCTAGCAGTTGCTCTAGTCCATTAAGCTACCCCTCCACAATCATTCTCCGGCTTGTGGCGGAAATCATTCCTTGTTATTATAAAGCCTTTGGCATACCTCTCAATATTCTGTGCATTGTTCTGCCGAATGTACTCTGAAGAAAATAAATTTGTTGATGATTCTTTAATTCAGTATCGGACAGTTAGTCTGTGTGTAGGTAGGTGCAGACTAACTGACTAGGGGTCCACGCGATAACTCCAACCAGTTGTTAGAAATACTTTGTGACTCAACTCAGAACAAATAAAAATAACCTAGATGCATTCACTTAATCTTTCTGTGGAACATGAATTTCAGTATTCCCTCATACAAAACATTTCACTCCTTTTCTTAAAACATTCTTAATGCTCAGTCTTTCATTATCATTGTTTTCACACTATTTTAGTTACTTCATCAATCATTTCGTGATAAAAATTCATTTCATCGTGCGAATGTAGTATGAAAAGTTAGACAAACGCATATTCGTATCAGGCGCTACGTTGATTATATATAACAGGCTTACTCCATTCATTGGTGTACTTCACTCCGCTTCTGTTATTTATATTAGCCAACTTTCTACTAACGTTTATTATTATTATTATTATTATTATTATTATTATTATTATTATTATTATTATTATTATTATCATTGTTTCTTCAGGGAATTACTAAGGGTTCAATTCAATCATCTGACCGTTTGATGAAAGAGCTAAGAGAGATTTATCGATCAGACAGTTACAAACAAGGTGAGCTATTATCATTAACCTTTTATTACAAAAAATATATTTATTGACTGGTTGGTTCTTGTTTTAATTTAAAAAGCATCATTTATCTTTACAGTATGCAATTGACCGATTCAATAGTCATAAATACGTTACGTATGCCTGTGGATGACCCAGATTATTTTAGCACAGCTTATAGTACAATGACTGACTAAAGTTATTAAACGTCAACAATAAATGCATATATTTGGTCATTATGTGTCTGCCTATTCACTTTATAAAATGAATGAATTTTATTTCGAGATTAATCATAATCGAGTAAGCTGCTTATTTCATCAAAGCCAACAAACATCACATCCAAACAATTTATTTCAGTTTTTTTCTTACTACTTCAAATTATTTTATTCATTTGTTCTTTTTCCTAGGTATTTTCACTGTTGAACTACAAAATGACAGTCTTTATAATTGGAAAGTTAAATTATACAAGTAAGCGTATTTTGATCTTGCTTACATTTTGTTTTATTTACCATAATTCTGTCAAACTGGCCATGCTTCTGTTTAGGCACCCGAGCTGTATCATAGCCCTCACACAATTCAAACAAGATTTGTGTGGCGCATATGTATCTGATGTACCAGTATCTATGTGTTCAAATAAATAAATAAAATGTTAAACTGGCTTCATAGGTACAAACATCTACGTCTTGTTGATAAACGACAATGTAATGTTACACTTAGATAGCATTAGATGACAAAATTGCTCCGTTAAATCAAGTAGTAAGTAACTGTTATTCATTCTTTCGTTAATATACTTCGATCAGTGACATCATGAAGGTCAGAATATGAAATCAATTCATTAAATGAAACCTAAGCATTACAGTTATACGTCTCTTAATATCTACTATGGTCAGTCAAAAGCATCGTGGAATGTGGTACGTACGTACATCTGTTAGAGGTATGAGGGCAGTTGTCACTTCTAAGCTTCCTACACGGTCGAAGGATATTTTCTCTTGAGGGATCTCAAAAGGAAGACGGATTAGTTGTGGTCTTAGTGACCTGGAAGCGTGATCGCAGAGCTCAACGGACAACTGTTTGTGGTCGGTCGTGCACACCTTTTTTATGAGACGTTTTTCATGTTTTAACTCTGTACTGCAAAAAACTTCACCGACTGAGACAGAAATCCATGGTGTAAGGTGGGTTGAAACATTTTCAGAGTCGATCTTTTCTAACCTCTTCCTTCCGCTGTAAGATGGCAACATCTCTTTAGATACTGGCTGTTCGTTGGAAACATTTACAGCCGTCACACCTTTCTACAGTACTTCTTCGTACCTTAGGTTGCTGCTTTTAGTCTTGCCGATCTCTAACCGACCTTCCTGGCATGTTAGAACCTAAAAAACTTGTATTTCAGCTAATATAGCTCGGTTGAATCATCACGATAGCTATGCCCGACCACCACATCAAAATGGCAGCTGCGTTCGGGATATCTACTGTAGTGTAACAAATTATTATTTTCATGATACCTCACGACCTTTCATACAAAATAATACGATGGATGTTCAAAGAAAGGAGGACAGAAATGAATCATTTAATTAATTTAAGAATCTATTCATTTCCGCCCTGCATTCATAAGCTTGTGATATAACGCAGAAAATAATTGGTACTTGACTCAATCCTACGCTTAAATATTATATGATACACTATCAATAAGATAACTGCCATACCAGATAATACGACAACTAACCACTCGTACTTGATCACCAGATAATAGACTGGGAAGTAGATCACGTGTTACTCAGTAGTCAAAGTCCAAGCAATGACTGGGAAACATTATGCAAACTTTAGTTTATTGACACAAATTGCAGTCAGTCAACATGGAGTGGATCCCGAGTGAAATCATTAGTGAGATGAATTTACACTTTTATATAGTCTCGTCTATTGAATGTATGTAGTTGTGACTATAGTAACTCACCTTACTATCCCGAATATATTAACTTAATTATTTTTTTTAGTTCCTGTACGGGATAAATGATAATTACAGTCATAGCGGTAATAACAACTTCGGTTTAAAAATCTTGTTAACAGCTTCTTGGTCACTAAATAATTTTTTGGAATTGTAGTTTCCATTTTTATAAATTTAAAACATCTTCCTACGGAAACTAGATTCTAACTACGACCACTAGCTCATGCTTTCTTTAGACTTATCCCTGAAATTTTTGTTATTGAATTAGTTTACAAAATAATGTTTAAAACTTGCTTAACTGTGTAGTGAAAGAAGACTTGATGAGGATAACTAATCTATTATCTAACGCAAAATTGCAGTTTTTTGGTAAAATGTGAAACCATACATTAAATACTTTATCTGTAAACCTTTCATCAATTGTCTTTTACGTCCTTCATGATTCTCCTACTTATCAATTCCTTTCTGTTTCCTTCAGTTCAGTTTTCTTAACCGTCCTTTGACAGACCTTCCAGTTTTGATCGGTGTTACATACTACTTGTATCTGTCAATACAAGTAACATGCATTACAACTTCACTGTCGGTTTATATATTTGTACAAAGTCTTAAAGAGATCATTGGACATCTGAGAAGTAAACATTTTTATAGCACAATGTTACTTGAATAAACTGAGGACAATACTACTGTTCATACAGCGTCATTGTTGCAAAGGTTGTAAATCGATCTCAATTCAACCATTATATAGCTTGTATTTTACATTCTCTGATCTCATTACGCTTAAACTTATAATTCATCTATTCTTTTCAAACTTTATTCTTTCTCTATATAACTGACATACTACCATGATTTCATCCCGTTGTACTGGCGTTGTATGGGAAATTAGACCAAGATACATTTATACCAGGCCTTATGTTGACTGATTGACCGAGAAGTCAACTAATCTGACTCAGGTGAATAATATAACTATCAGTAGCCTGATTATTTCTTATATAAAGCTGCCTCATATCTTTAAATAGCAGCTCATATTACTTCGTAACTAAAATATTGTGAACATACTTCTTTGTCTTCAAAGATATGATAGTTAAGAACATACATTTAAGCAGCTTTAATGACTATTTTTATACGTTAATTTTGTTAGGAATTCAGTTTATTTTTTTTAATTTTTATATTCTATATGTATTTTTCAAAAGAGTTGATGAGGACAGTGGATTGCATAAAGATCTTCAGGAACTTACAAATCATCCCAAATTAGAAGATCATTTAGGATTACAATTTCTATTCAAAGTTAGTTGTTATTAATGCCATAAATTTTATGTTTTGTTTGTTTGGACATTCAGTACTGTATCATCAGATTCAATAGGTTTCTTTCTACATTTATGATTGCTTCACGAGATGAAGTTTTACTATCCAAATTATAAAGGGCCCGGTAGATGTTTAGGTATAATGACATATTACGTCTTCATCAAAATCTGCCCCTTGATGATTATCTAAATTTCCTATCAAATTATGCTGACGACAATAGTCTCTTGCATACATCTTGGTTTCAAGCATGAATTTAGCAATTGAGATGGATGATAGTTGCTGTTTTGTTGAAAGTTGTGTCAAATTCCGTTCATTTCTTTCTGTCCATAAACAATTCTTCCAATAAGGCTCCTTTAGGTATCACTTGGTTCGGCATAAGGAGAAACTTTAAAATTTCATCGTTTACTCTTCCCAGCTCTTGGTAAGCTCTAATTTAAAAGTTCTAACAAACTATTTCACCTCCATTTGATTGTTGAGAGTGATAATGCAGGTAAAAGATATGCATGGTGTTTCCTTTTTCATCGAGTTGTTCAGACAAAGATGTCGGAACGATGTTGTTAAAGACGCCATGTTAGATGAAAAATGATCCAAAGTTTTGTCTTTGGAGGGTGGGGTGCGCTATTGCATTTTAACTCTGCGTTTACTAAAATGGGATTTGTAATCTTGTTGACTTAACCTGAGAAGCCAATATTAAGTCGTGACCATGGCCTCTTGTTGTATTCAGGGTTGTGGTGCTAGTTTTATACCGTATTTCCCAACGTGTTGCGATTGGGTACACTATCTAAAGAAATTAATATTAACCACAAAAAAAACTGTTGAGTAGGCTTTCGGAGGACTTCAACGGAGCCTCTAGAAGCCCAAAAGGAGCCGAAGAGTCCTAGCCAATCTCGGTACGATGGAGCATTCTAGAATTCCAACGTGGCGTGCTACTATTGGTCAGTAGCATAATATGTCGCTAACGGATTGGCTGAAATATGATGTTGATTTAACAAACGTTAACATCTATAAATACCCATGGTTTCTGTACATAAACGAACCTTGGCGTAAAGTATTCGTCTCATACTTGCGTCTTCTTTCTGGTGTTCAGGTCGCTGTGTAGCTCTAGCCTGCGGGTTACCAGAATAGCTTAGGAAAACGAATATAGTGTTCAATCGACAAGACTTATCGAAAAGCTATGCATAAATAGAGAACAAAGCATTAAATTTGGTGTTCGCAATCAAGAGGTTTCATGAAATATATATATATAAGATAGATTAGTATAATTTCATTTGAAGAGAATTTTGCGTTGTACTAATAGTTTAATATGTACAGCTAGACAGATCATAGCATACACATAAGTTTGTAAATGAGTTTTGGTGAACTCGTAGTTTTAGTAGTCAAGGCATTCGGTTTTCAACCAGTAGATCACAGGTGATCAGCACTTGTCCATTTATCGCTTCTGTAACTCTCCCAGGTCAATGAAATAATTAATACTGTCCTCATCTCTCAGTTTTATCACGAAGTAATATTATTTCACCATGTGGGCAGTCAGGAATGGTCAAATGCCTAGGCACATCTAGAAGCATTCAATATTACCACTGGCATGAGTAGCTACATAGTAGGTCTCTTATTCATGCAAAATACATTTTACAGTGTTTTGTCATGTAACGTATATATATATATATATATATATATATATATATATATAATAATAAAGTGCCATTGTTTATCATTGGTCACATTTGATACTGTATCCATACATCTCACTTCCTATCAAATGCTTGTTTTCTTTTTGAAACCACACATAATTCAATGGTTTTTTTCTTTCATATAAGATATAAGCCAGGAGTAGGAAACCTTTTAAAATTCTTCCTCGGATTGCAAAATGGTCCAAAGTTTAGGAATATGCAAGCCTCAGTAGTTTTTTAGCCCCATAAATCGCACTGAAGCGTCTTTTTTTATTCTAGAAGCAGACTAAATAACGCTGTACCAATATACTTACTTACTTACATACATACCCCACGTGGAGGAGCATAGGCCGCTCAATCAACATGTAACCTCTTAAATGAATCAGTCTTATTGTTCGTACGAAATAACAAGCTCTATGTATTACGCTTATTTAGTGAGATTTACATTTTAGACCGAGATGACTTGTTTTCATTAGATAAGTAGGTATACCTTCATATCACGGTGGCGTTTGATTCTCTTACAGATAGTTATTATTACTACTTCTATGTTTTCAAGTGACGCACTGAATTCCTGTTCTTTTTTCTCTCTTACATACATTATTTGGTAATGTGAATACCAAATAATACATTTGTCCCTTTTAATATTTTTAAAACAGATTCTCTCGAGTTGAATATTGTCTTAATTTCTAAACTATAGTCAACTAATCATGACTCTCGAACGTTTTTATGAGGGGTTATGGGTATTGTTGAATGTAATTGAAATAATGAACCAATCTAAGTTACAACGCCATTGAAGACCTAAAAACACCGGGTGACCGTTTCGTCCTAGTATGGGACTCCTCAGCAGTCCATGATTTCAATGATTTCAAATGTATGCTTAATCTCAGTTTATTATCATATTTAGTGCTTTGTGAGAAGAAATCCACCAACTTTCTTTATGTGCTTTATGAGAATATACCAGATTATATTTTGTATCACATTCTTCATTCTAATTGTAGTAATTTTTATTTTAAATAGGAAACATATCCTTTTGAGCCACCATTTGTCCGTATTCTTTATCCAGTGATTGAAAATGGTTATGTTTTAGCCGGTGGAGCAATTTGCATGGAATTATTTACAAAACAAGGTTGGTCAAGCGCTTATGATATCGAATCATCTATCATGCAAATAGCTGCAACTTTAGTGAAAGGTCGTGCACGTATAAATTTTAGCGCAACAGATGTAAGTTGTTTTTTATTGTCTTACTTTTTCTCATTGCTCTTTATTGATTTTTATATTGGTACGAAGGGGCACCAAATTATTTTTGTGCCACAAAAACCATTGGGTTTGTGTTTAGGCTGGGACACTGCTCGGGTGCCCAAACCGAAGCAGGTGATTTTCTTAGGGGACACACCCGGAGCCTTTGACCTAAAAGCGTAATCCTCAAGGCAGTGGAGAAACGTAAGGAGATGCAGTTTCGTAGTAGCTGGTGACCAATAATAGGTTCATACGCCATTTGTTTCCTTAAGATCATGGAGCCTATGTGCACCACTGATTTGGAATCAGGGTTTTCCAACTCTCCTAGGTGAACCCTTCGTGTCTACCAACCCAGTTAAAGCGTCGAACATTCTTTTAGCGTCCTCTCAATCTCGTAAACAACACGTCCTCCGCGAAAATGCAGTGGGGACTTCCCTGGCGGTGGCTGTATACTCGTGGCCATGTGAGCGCATTTGGAGAGGGCGAGAAAACTCCCCCACCCTCTGCCGTACCAGGGCGGTTGAAATTGTGGTGACTCTCCCTTCAAAAATTCTATAATTTACTTTTAGCAGGGAGAAATAGTTAATACTGATAAATTAACTCAGATTGTCTTTTAAGATCGTGGTTCAGTTTTAACGGTTAGATTGTATATTTTCTAGTGTTTGGATGGTGGATGTTATTCTGTCCAATTATTTGCGATCACTAATCTCTCTGATTTATGAGGCAGGTCAGAGATTCCTTTGTGACAATCACAGAAAAAAGGTTTTGATAAATATTGTTCATAAAATACTGATTTTGATAATCAACCAGAGCGCTTGATTAGAGCTCAAAAACACAAAAATCGGGGAAAATCAAGGAGTCTTTATGTATGGCCCTAAATGTATTGATTAAATCAACGGATATATCTTGTCTCTGTGTTTATCATTGAATTGCATCCCGAAAAAAACATAACCTTATGAAGGCTCTTAAAAATAACAATTTTTTTCGCCCAACTTTTCAGGAACTAGTCCCCTACCTGGTGTTCATTGACTTATGACTTGCAATTGATACAGTTATGTTTGTCAAAGATGTTGATAAGGTATAAAGCCTTGTATCCGTCGTTAATTGGCATCATAAGATTGTCCACAAAAAGTTTTTTTCTATCTAAATGATAAGTGTTACTCCAGGATTGTTCTAAATCAGCACCTAATTTAACCATAAGAGAGGTAAAGCAAATAAGGCACTTGAATACATTCCTATATAGGTCTCATCAACCCTAGTGAGTCAGTGGCTAAAGAAGCATCATCATAGATCCAGAAAGCTTATTTAGCTTTTACTAATCACTTTAAATGGTCCTCATATGAAAATTTGTAATAAGCCAGAAATGATAATAGAAATGTAATAATGTTAGTTATTATATACTGATCGGCGACGATATGTTTGCTTTCAGTATACTAATTACCAACTATGTAAATATATATATATATATATATATATATATATATATATATATATATATATATATATATATCCCTCATTAAATCTGCGCTTAATGATCGGTCCTGACAAAATGCTTTTATCTTGTGACATTATTGATTAGTATCGTCTGTCAGTCAAACGCACTATACTGATTTTATTAAACTTTTATGTATAATAATTCAATCGCAGTTTAAAAATCCCCATAGAATATTCAAAAACGAAGAATATTTGAGCGAACAATTGTTTTCAATAACTTCATCATCAGGCTCTACAGTTATAAGTCCATAATTATAATATTTTACAAAGGCCAAGAATAAGGCATGTATTAATGAATTTGGCAATGTTACGTGTTAAAAAAAGGGTAAACGTTTGCATCTGTTACGATATATATATATACTTTAAAATTGTATTGTTTGACAAATTAGAAAGGTCATTCAATAAAGGTCAGGATGATTTGGAGTAAAGTGTTCAGTCACCATAAGTAAAATAGTATGAAAATGCAAAAAAATTGTGTGAATAAAATGCATAGTAGGAGAATGTAATCTTGTTAATTGAGATAATAATAATAATATTTTCGTATAGCCAAGGCTTCAATAAACCTTAGGAAGCCTTGGCTATACGAAAATTGAAACCCCCTTTATGTGTTCAAAAACAATTTGTACTTACACTTAACCTACCCTGGTAGTACTGATTTACTATCCAGAGTGGTAATCACATTTGTTTTTGTGTACTTTAATATTTTTTCCTTTGTTATGACTTACCCTTAACCTGTCTAGTTGACCTTTTAATAATAAGATTGTTGTGTGAATATAATCTGTAATAAGGGGGTGTTATCAAGGTAATTACGAGCAACCAATTAGGAATGATGAATGTGAAGATTAAGATAGAGATAATAAAAAATAATGATAAGGAAAATAAATGAAATAAAGGAAGGGGCTAAGAGGTTTATAATATTCAGTCTAGGTATTCGGTGATCCAGTGGTAGGCCACGGTAAACATAGAGGCTGGATATATTTTTTCTGGATACATAAATTAGGTCTTCTGGAGTTGATCCAAATGGCTTCGGCTATGTAAAGCCGTCGTAATCTGGCTCCTTGAGGTAGATATTTTGGAACTTGATATAAAACAAAGAAAGCTTCCTCTATTTTGATATGATGCTCACTATCTACCAAGTGAGAAAGAATGGTGCTGTTAATCGATTTGGTAACTCCTTTTCCCAACCAAGCTGGTACATGTTCACGAACACGCAAGGATAAAGCCCTCTGAGTACGGCCTATGTAACTAGCTCCACAGGAGCAGTTGAATTGGTATACACACATGGAGAAGCCCATCTTCGATAACTTATCCCTGATTAGTTGTGTGAGTCCTGGTTTAGTCGAGAAAATTATGTGTAACTTGGCGGCATGAAACGTCTTTTCGACAGATCTTTTGAGTCGACGTGTTAGAATATCACCCGCTATGTCCCCTTTAAAGTTAAGTCTCAGATATAAAGTCTTCTTACTGACTGCGTCGCAATATCTTCTTTTTTTATTAGTATTTTGTACGAGGTATTTTTTGACGAAATTATCAGGATAGCCATTATTTCGTAATGTGTTCCTTAGTATATCTATTTCGTCATTCACACTGTCTTCAGAACATAATAACTTGATTCTGTGGTTGAGACACTTAACCAAATTTACTTTATATTGAAGAGGTGTGAAGCTTTGGAAATGGGTATACTGACCCGTCCATGTACTCTTTCTAAATATATTTCGCTTTATGGAACCATCTATCCTTCTAGAAATTAGGATATCCAGAAAAGCTATACTATTGTTTTTCTCCTCCTCGCTGGTGAATTGAATGGCTGGGTGGACATTATTGAAAGCGTCTAACATCTCCTGTTTGTCGATACTTTCGTCATATATGATGGGGTAGCAATGGGATCACCTCTTGGCCCGATCCTTGCTAATATATTTCTGACGAAATTAGAAAATGGACCGCTTAAAGGCATCCTAAATAAGTTTGATTATTATTGTCGATACATAGATGACACACTAATCATATGTGACGAAAGTATCGACAATCAGGAGATGTTAGACGCTTTCAATAATGTCCACCCAGCCATTCAATTCACCAGCGAGGAGGAGAAAAACAATAGTATAGCTTTTCTGGATATCCTAATTTCTAGAAGGATAGATGGTTCCATAAAGCGAAATATATTTAGAAAGAGTACATGGACGGGTCAGTATACCCATTTCCAAAGCTTCACACCTCTTCAATATAAAGTAAATTTGGTTAAGTGTCTCAACCACAGAATCAAGTTATTATGTTCTGAAGACAGTGTGAATGACGAAATAGATATACTAAGGAACACATTACGAAATAATGGCTATCCTGATAATTTCGTCAAAAAATACCTCGTACAAAATACTAATAAAAAAAGAAGATATTGCGACGCAGTCAGTAAGAAGACTTTATATCTGAGACTTAACTTTAAAGGGGACATAGCGGGTGATATTCTAACACGTCGACTCAAAAGATCTGTCGAAAGGACGTTTCATGCCGCCAAGTTACACATAATTTTCTCGACTAAACCAGGACTCACACAACTAATCAGGGATAAGTTATCGAAGATGGGCTTCTCCATGTGTGTATACCAATTCAACTGCTCCTGTGGAGCTAGTTACATAGGCCGTACTCAGAGGGCTTTATCCTTGCGTGTTCGTGAACATGTACCAGCTTGGTTGGGAAAAGGAGTTACCAAATCGATTAACAGCACCATTCTTTCTCACTTGGTAGATAGTGAGCATCATATCAAAATAGAGGAAGCTTTCTTTGTTTTATATCAAGTTCCAAAATATCTACCTCAAGGAGCCAGATTACGACGGCTTTACATAGCCGAAGCCATTTGGATCAACTCCAGAAGACCTAATTTATGTATCCAGAAAAAATATATCCAGCCTCTATGTTTACCGTGGCCTACCACTGGATCACCGAATACCTAGACTGAATATTATAAACCTCTTAGCCCCTTCCTTTATTTCATTTATTTTCCTTATCATTATTTTTTATTATCTCTATCTTAATCTTCACATTCATCATTCCTAATTGGTTGCTCGTAATTACCTTGATAACACCCCCTTATTACAGATTATATTCACACAACAATCTTATTATTATTATTATTATTATCTCAATTAACAAGATTACATTCTCCTACTATGCATTTTATTCACACAATTTTTTTGCATTTTCATACTATTTTACTTATGGTGACTGAACACTTTACTCCAAATCATCCTGACCTTTATTGAATGACCTTTCTAATTTGTCAAACAATACAATTTTAAAGTATATATATATATCGTAACAGATGCAAACGTTTACCCTTTTTTTAACACGTAACATTGCCAAATTCATTAATACATGCCTTATTCTTGGCCTTTGTAAAATATTATAATTATGGACTTATAACTGTAGAGCCTGATGATGAAGTTATTGAAAACAATTGTTCGCTTAATTGTTCTGTATTTTTGATTAATTCATTC